ATCTAGTGCACGACACGAGTCATCTAGTGCACGACACGAGTCATCTAGTGCAGGACACGAGTCATCTAGTGCACGACACGAGTCATCTAGTGCACGACACGAGTCATCACGAGCTGAACACGCGTCACTTGAATTTGACCCACAAATATGAATATGACCAACAAATGAACCTACAAATGCAGGGCATGAGTATCACAGTCAGCCAGGTTCACACCTGAATCTCCTTGTGCTACATCCAACACAAGCGCTGAGTGACTCAAATAACAGCTTGTCTGAGTGAGTCTGTTAACCCTTTAGCGACCTGGGGCCATACTTTCAAAACTCGCTAAGTGAACGTAAGTACTTACGCTCTATTTTCTTGTCTATGATTGGTGGATTTTGCTTGAAAGGCCGTCAATGATTGGCTGATGAACTTACGATCTCTTAACTTTTTTTGAAAGTATAGTGAACGTAAGTACTTACGCTTTATTTTCTTGTCTATGATTGGTGGATTTTGCTTGAAAGGCCGTCAATGATTGGCTGATGAACTTACGATCTCTTAACTTTTTTTGAAAGTATGGGCCCTGCTCAGCAGACATAAACTCAGCCAACACACTCAGGCGAACATTATTACTCGCCATATAACAAATAAACTCAACCAGCACACATGGCTAAACAGAATTACACGTACTCATCACATGGTCAGCACAATTAATAGGTTGGTCCCTAGAATTACTCACCACTTAACACATAACACATAAACTCAGCTATAACACATGACAACACAATTACTCAAAACATAACATAAACTCAGCCATAACACATGGACAACACAATTACTCACCACATGGCCTGCACGGTGATGGGTTTGAAGATGTGCGTCTTGCCAGCGCTGGTGACGCTGAACCCTCTGGCCAGAAATGGTAAAAAAAATATCAGGTTAATATTCAATCAGTTGCTAGGTTTGATTCCTCAATAATTAGAAAAATCGTTAAAAATAAATAATTGACAGAATGCAAATATCATCTTATTTAATAACAAAGAAATCAGAGGAATTGCGATCATGGGATTTTCTACGTGCAGATCGAAGGGAAATTAATGATTCTTCTTCAATATAAATAATGGACAAGTGACTGGCAATTGTTCAGTGAACGGAAAGACTATAAAATCTACAAATGGCAGACAACATTTTTACCGAGTAAGGAAAATATCAAGGAAAACATTCTTGTGTTATTATTTATACATTATATTGAAATAAAGTACTGACCCGTCACCGTCGAGGGTGATGTGCGTGTCGGCGAGCAGAGCCATAACCAGGCCTACTGTCATCTTAAGGACCCCGCCCCCTCCTATATGCCTACCACCTTCTTCATCATTACCAGCACCATCTTCTCTGGCAGTTCTAACATCATCACTACCTCTCACACTCATATCACCATCATTATTTCCAGCACCATCCACTTCACCGCAAGTTCTCTGCACTTCCTCATCAACATTGACAACATCGATGCTGCTCATGGAAGAACACATCTTGCTGCCCTCAGGGTATTTAATACCGCTTAGTGTTGTAAATGCATTCAAATCGCCGTCCTGGGCACTCAGTTCACTAGAGCAGGGGAGCTTTGGGGACGTTATCTCCACGGGACTCGTTACGTCGGTAGAGAGGAGGCTTGGACTCTTAATACACATGTCGGTTTCGTCACGACCAGATTCCCAGTCTTCAATAGGTATATGGGAATTTTTTGAGGAGTCAGACTCCACATCAGAGACATCACCAACGTTGTAGGATTCTTGAGAAACATTTTTGTTCGAATCGCGCCGGTTTTGAGGTGAGAAAGACAAATCTTGAGAAGAGCCCGAGGCATTCTTGGAAGAGCCAGAGGCTATTAGTGAAGAATCTAAGAGATTAGTGAGAGAGCCCGAGACATTCTGCAAGCAGCCGACATTAGTTTTGGCTATTCTAGCGGAACAAGGAGAGTTTCTGTGGGATTTTTTGCCGTCTTTAGGTACAATGATGAGGTCTGTGCCGATGAGTGCCGCCTCCTGCTGGTCGGACCGCCCCACGCAGCTCACCACGCTCAGGTATCGCACGCGCCCTCCGTGCACGCTCTCCAGACGCACCGCCTAAGGAAAAAGGCAAGTAACAAGTCAATTTATAATAATGAAGTAAAATATAAAATTCTGACATAAAAAAACGAGTCAATTTATAATACCTAGTGAAGTAAAATATAAAATTCTGACATACGTTACAACGCAAAAAATCTTAAAAATATTTATAGATCTCAAAATGTAATGAAAGGTCCAGGTTTTCTTCCAGCCGTTGCAGTAACAATATTGCCACGAAGAAGAAATCAACATTAAAAAGGGCCAGAAAATATTAGCAAAAACTAAGATAAGAAGGAAAGACGAGATGAAGATGACAACAAATACAATAAACTGAGAGTGACAACCTAGAGTATTGATAGTGAGGCTTTCACTTAGCTTGAGCAGGACTTGCGTGAGGCACAATTAAGCAACAGATCCAAAATCAAATAAATACTTGTCTGTACCGGAAACAGGGATACAGTAAGATTTGCATGTCAAGACTTGAAAATATTAGAAAGGATATGAGTGGAGGTAAGCACTTGGATTTTGTAAATTTTAATTATTCAAGACGGAACGAGCCTCAAAGATTAGTCCCCATAAGCGATTATACTGAGATGAGACATGCCGAGTATAAAAATAGCTCTTCAATTCCAAGAATTTACATTTTTAATGTCAAACAAGTTACCTACCTATATTAGATACCTATTGTTAACTCTAAATTTGAGAATTATGAATTTTACCAGACGTTTTATTAGCAACATCTCAGTTAAGATGCATGTACATAGAGCAACTACTACTCAGTGCATAAAATATGACTCTTTATGACTTCAAGACTATAAGATAACGCCAGGCAACACGTACTGGAGGCGTATTTTGGGGAGCTCATGCTGAAGCCCCACCCTTGCTGCCTACAAGCGACATCAAAAACTGAACTGAGTTTGCAAAAGCTCAAACCCATGGCTAGTTCTTCCTATGTGGCAGCTGCTCCTACTGACTTACAGTTGCTAGAGAAATGTTTAAATGTAAAATTATTCTTCCAGACATACACCATTTTGTCAGTTCATTAATTTCTCATTTTTTCTATGACATTTTTTTCTCGTCTTATTGTCCTGGTCCATTTCAAGAAAAAGATTCCAAGATGCAGTAGGTAGTCTAGTGAGGGAAAAGAAAAGGCATGACGGAATCAAACCAAACAAAAATATGAACAAGAGGCAGTGATGCATTGTAAAATAATATGATATGAGGTAGAGAGGGGAACAAGTAAGAAGAACAAGTCAGAACCTGAGTCATGACTTTCAAAATCGATATTAAATACTGTTCAGAAGAAGTATATACATATTCTAATGAAACAACTTCCCAATAGCAATAAGCACCCAGAGCATTTTTGTTGTAGCAGACAACTATATACCGGTAGTACGTCATCAACCAATACCATAAACAGGACTGCAACAGTCTCTAATGAGAACAACCATGAGTTAACAGAATTGTCAGCAAGAAGATATGAAAATAATCTTTGCAATATTACTTAGCAAAGATTTAGCATCATTTTCAGTATGAACAACTATCAATACCTGCTCTTTGATTTCATTATGCAGTAATGCTATTCAACTTGCAGAAAAGATAGATAGTATCAATAAAGCTTTTTGAATGCATAAGAGTGACAAACCAGAGAGAGAAGAGAGACACTCGAGAGAGACAAATCATTTAAGGTTTAAGTGTAACCTTCATAAGTATCAATAAAACTTTTTGAATGCATATGTACCTACCAATCTATTGCATGAATTTATCACCTTTCATTGCATGCCCATTTGAAGAGGCTAAATCGGTGGTTCCCAAACTTTTTTAGGCTGGCGCCCCCTTTGGCTCCCTAGTGAATTTCTAGCGCCCCCCCCCCACAGACATATACGCCTCTTTCTTAAAATTTAGTACGATGCAATTTTAAAAGATAAAGGTTAAACACAATTGTGTATTTCACAAATAGAACCCCATTTAGTGAACCAATACTTTTTTAAGCTGTTTTAACTGTTTCAGCACAGCACTAGAACTAATGAACGCAGCTCTATGAAACTTGGAAAACGCATTCATCAGAACCCAACGGTGATGTTTAGCTCGTAATTTCTTTTTAATTTCACCTTCATTCGTGAGTTACGCGTATATTGCAAAACAGGCCAAAATTCGCAGTGATCAATGAATTTCTTTCAAACTATTGAACAGATTTGAACGAAATTTTGAAAACACATTCTTAACTACCAAACGGCGATTTTTAGCTTATAACAGTTCTTTCGATTTTACCTTCGTTTGCGAGTTTTTTTCTTTTCACCGTCATTCTTGATTTCACACTTCCTTGTATTCGGCCCGTATCGCCGGATAATTTATCACTTAAATTCGCGGCAATCACGAAATTTCTTCTAAACTACAGAACAGATTTCAACAAAACTTTGTATATAAATAAATACTTAACCTCTCAACGGTAATGTTCAGCTCATGACATTTCTATTTTGCTTTCGTTCGCGAGTTATACAAATATAGGAGGAACGACCGGCTTTTCTACCAGCCGTTTTAACCATGAGCCGTATACGTATAGCCATGTAACTCGCAAACGATGGCAAAACGAAAAAATTGTAAACATCACCGTTGCTGAGGTTAGGTATTTAAATACTAAGTTTCGTTCAAATCTGTTCAGTAGTTCGGAAAAAATTTCTTGATTAAAGCGAATTTAAGCACGTATCACTTTTTAAATCACGAATGAAGGTAAAATGAAAAATAAAACTCGCGAACGAAGGCGCAATCGAAAAAAATTTCACGAGCTAAACATTACCGTTCGGAGTTAGGACTGTAAATTCAAAATTTCGTTCGATATAAATATGGCAAAAACAAACGATGGCAAAATTCAAACAATTTTCACGAGCAAAACATTATCGTTAGGTCCAAATGAATACGTGTACGTACCAAGTTTCATCGAGTTAAGTTCATTAGTTTGAGAGATATTCCTTGATCATTGAATTTGGAAGTTGACCGTGAGACCGGCCGCGAGTATGGCCGTTAATTTGTCCGAGACGTAAACCCAGGAGAGGTTAAAAAACAGATCTGGGTGAAAAAAAAAACATCGCTGGGAGTCATGCGCTGCACGTGTTGTGTACAAATCGTCAAACAAACGTTTGAACTTTTGACATTGACTTCGGACTATCGCACCCCTATCGCCCTCTTCTTCCTCACTGCCCCCCAAAATCTTTCCACCGCCCCTAGGGGGGGCGATATCGCCCACTTTGGGAACCACTGGGATAAATCAAGAAGGTAATTATTAATTTCCACAGAGAAATATTATCATTGAATGCTGTGAGATAATATTTATAAGATGTATTACATATGTCTTTATTAATTGACAAAGAGGGATTAATTATTGAAGTGCAACCTTCATAAACCCACTAAAATTAGGTTAAGGCTGAAAAGAATCTTACAAATTTCTAGCTATTAATTATCAATTTTAGAAATTATGTAAATTGTTAGACAAACCATCTGCAAAGTGTGCCCTGGGTGCAGGATGTTGAGCATGGCTTGCAGGTGAGTCTGGATGTCCTGAGATGGCAACGCCATCCTGCTGTGGCTGGTGCGTTGGCGCCCCACACTCAGGCTGCTGCCGCTGCCCACCCGCCCCACGCCACCCACCCGCTTGCTGCACTCGCTGTGAGGAAGCAGAACTCCAAAACCTGCACACAGCAAGTCGTGCAATAATTTTATTCAAGGACTGATGCTCTACTTTGAGAATAATTGCAGCTTAACAGGGATATTCCACAAAATACCTGGTCTAGAAACACATTTTGTGGCATTTTACTTTAAAAATGTTACACCTAATTAAGAAGACATCTTTGTTATTAATAGTAACTTAACACGTTGACTACGATTGCTTCATCTTGTACTTTTGTTTCATTTTTCTAGTACTATTATGGAACAGGGTTGCCAGACTTTCTTTTTTTACCCGACAAATTCCGCGATTTCGTTTTTTCAATTTAGGTGGTCGGCTAAAATTTATGATAGGGGTTGTAAGGGGCGCTTCCTAATTAAGTAAAAAAATTGAATTTTTACACCGGAACCTACAAATATACTAGTACATATTGAGTTATAGGCCTTTTTGGCTTTTTGTTCACGGACTTAATTGGCCGTTTTTAGGCCATCTGACAACCCTGAATTATGTACCAGGAGAAATACATTTCGTGGTACGCATATGTACCAATACGTAGTCAACGTGTTAATTCCATGTACCATATAGAGGTTATATATAAAATTAATTAACCACAGACACAAAGTTAGTTATTGCAACACAATATATCCATGGATGTTAATGCCAATGCCAAATATAACACAGCTCTTCAACCATAAAACAACCCACCTTTGACAGCAAAATAGTATTCGCTGAGGTTACGACTATGCTCGGCCATTTCCTCCTCTTGGGATATGAATGAACCTCCATACTCCTGTTGGAATAAAACTTGTCAATGAAACAATCCTTTCTGAATTTAAACTAAAGGGACTTGACAGATATATAAATGTTTATAACGTAATTACCTGTGATAAATCACTTCTGAAGTTGAGAAAAATGTATTTTATGCCATATCATGGTTAGGCCAAAGATTTGACACAAAACCCAAAATGATATAGAAAATGGATTTATAACTCAAAAACTAAGCTCATGGCTCAGAACTTTATATTTCTAGCTGTAAATTTTATGAATTTGTAGATAAAAAATACAGTTGTGGCTTATAAAGCAGATATTTTCATGTATTACTTGTCTTTTTTATGACTAAGTAGATATCATTGGATCAGGCAAAAGGTTGTGGTGGACCAAGGTGCAAAGAGTCAGGCATTAGTAAAATCTGAAGATCTTTTGAAAGACATCAGCATTAAAGTCAATACCTATCTTCACAAGATCTTGTCAACATTTTCCTTTTTAAATACCGGGTACCTTTTTTTTTGTATTTGTAGCGAAAAACTTGAAGTTTTAGGTAGTTAAGGCAATAAGTCCTCCATACTACTGGCAACAATTTGGGCCTAAAATCTTGATCTCTGCAACAAAATTGCCAATCTCTAAATAGTGGCTGATAGAACGATATCAAATTAAGGAGCCACCAATTCTAAAACTCTGCCAAAAGGAGCCTATGGCCAGGATTGGAATTTTCATACTTGTAAATAAAATCTTGCAGCTTGAAAGTAACAAATTTGCTTCACGTTTTGAATGTTGTGACCTGACAATCCAGTTTTATTAAAATTAAAAAGAAGATAATTCATCTAGCAAGAATTTTGCAGGTCCAAAAATGACAGGAAAGCTCTAGTTGTAGCTCAAATGGTAGATATATTCCATGCCAATGGGGGCCACGCCACTTCCATAATTAGTAGGAAAATTCCACTTATGATCCAGCAGGAAACTCATTGCTCCAAAAATGGTGGGAAAGACATAAAAGCAGTTTGGAAAGAAAAGATATATATTCCCAACATAGTGGCAAACCAGAGATTTTATAAAATCATTTCATTTTTAATTTTTTCATTCACTCTATATTTTAATTAATTTCTTAGAAATGAAAATTCTGGTATATCCAATATACTTACTAGTTTACTAATATTGCTGAAAAATTAAAACCTAAGATAGAGCAATCTGAGATTAGGAGCAAAATTTTACAGGATTTGCAGATAAAAATGTTTTTACTCCCTTATTCATGAAAAATTAGGCAAGGGTAATAAAAACAGGTGAAATTGACCACAAGCACAGGCATATTTGTCTTAACTGTAGGTAGTTTCTGCACAATTTTACAAAATGGATATATTCTACTCCTGAATTAGGCTAATCTAATACTACTTGAAAATTTCTTTTTTTTTACACTCTACAGCCTTTGCTCAAATTTTTATTTAAAAATCAAGAAAAACTATACATTTTTGCCTTAAACTTTAGAAAATTATTAGTGAAAGAAACCATTTTTACATAAAATTTATTGAAAATTTTAGCTGATATTCCAGATTTGACTCCTGGCTAAACTGGACAATTGCCAGGGTGCAGAGGGTGGAAGCAGCGTCGCCAATATATGGGTTTTCGAGCCCAAAGCGTCACCAAGTAACGCCAACCATTTTCAAGATGCGTTGCCTGGTGATTTTTAATGAAACACATTTATGTTGGGTAATGAAAAACTATTTACAAGCCACAAACTTATTTACAAGGTTGCATGTACATGTTACCCCAAATAACTAATTTTACCCTGAAAACAGTCTGATTGTACAGCAAGTGTCAATTGAACATGTGATAATGCAGTCTGACCACTGTAATGTGACCGCAACTACGCAATCATAAACTTGTTGTTTACATTTGTGTAGGATATTTTGGCGGGAACTCATAGAAACTGATTTCCAGACAAGCTTCACCGCATCCTGATCCATCCAACATACCAAAACCTTACTTTTTTCTAAATAGGGTAAACGCAGTATATTCCGACATCGTGGGTAATTCCATCACCTCTCTAGTTTTTCCTTTATATTAAGCTTTGTTTTAGTTCCATGCATTCGTTGATGGTTGAAATGGTGACGTCATACATTTGCGCGTCAAACTACTACCAAAACACTAGGTCTTGGCCATCTAGCGGGAAAATATTGAGATCCAAAAAGAGACAATACACGCTACCAGTGAGATCATCAAAAAATGTGTCAAATTTGACAGTTGACCTTGCTCTACCAAATAGTGAATAACTGTTTGTATAGGAAGAATATTATGGTTTGATACTTTTAAATACATCTGTGAATATATTAGGAATCCTTTAAAGTATACTTGTATTTGCTGATTTCAAGTGGTAAATAAATTAATAGATGATTAAGTTGAGAAATGGATTTAGACACATGAAAACTAATTCCTTCACAACTTGAATTGGACACACACGGATCATTCCAAGCTTTCATTAGTGTTCTAATTCAAAGCCGTGTTGTATTCCAATACAGCTCACACAGCGAACGGAATTCGAACACGTGGATGATGGCATTACGTATCAGTAGAATTTGAAGCGCGGACGGAATACGCCTCACCATGTGCCAAATATAGCCACACACAGTGACGGAATATAGGGATTTGGTAGGTTTGCATTCTAAAGGCTTTTAAATAAATACCAATGGCAACATTTTGTGACGTTTCGTCATTGCTGACGCATAGTGCGGTGTTTTGAGAGTCACGTAAAGCAAACAGAACGCGAGTAACGCATACGGTTGTTTTTCTATAGTTTTTCATTTCTCGATGTGTCCTTAATGTGACGGAATATACCGCATTTACCCTAGTTGGCCAAAGACTGGAAAATATATTAAATGCAAGAATTTCAATCTAAATGTGTCAACAAGATCTTCTGAAGGCATAAATTTTGCTACTGAAGCATCACCAAAGATCTTGCAATATTAAACCACAGGATGGAATTCTAAAATTTACAGTTCATATATTATTCCCGATACACCTAGACCAGTTATTCGATACAACATTATTTGAGACAAAAAAATAAACTTATAGGCTTAAACAGGTATAGGTAAAGGTATAAAAAGTTTCTATAAAGTAATCACTTAACTTGGAAATGTTGCGTGTCTGCAGGGCAGCTTGCACTCAACAATTAAAATTATAAAAAGTACTAGTTCGTTAAAGATTTGTCTCTTAATGTGACAGCAAAGAACTTTTCCATGATGCACACAATAAACACGCAATTCATC